ATTGTGCAGAGCCCTTCATAGCTCAAGTAGTGAGTTTACCTGGCCTGAGAATCTTCTGGGTGTGCCTCATGAGAGGGGCCACCACCTTGTTTATAAAAGAAGTAAACTTTGACATAGTCTGGCTGAGCAACTGAATGATCACACAGCTGGACAAAAGAAATTCCTAATTTCTTCTGATTCACCTCAGTCTCAGGACACAATTACCACAGACAAAAGCTCTTAGGATATGACGCACACTGTAGTGGAAGTGACAGAAAACCACAGTGCCTTTCACTCATTGCCTGCAGAAGCTCCTGGGAGAAGATTGTCACATAAAGGCCTGGTGACACAGTCCGCCTACAGACGTTCTCTGTACTGATAGGGTTTCTACTGATAGCATCTTTGCTCTTGCCCATGTCCAGTGTGGTCAAGAAATCAGTGTCTAACAAGATTCTGGCATGAGTTCTCTTAAAAGCGTGAGTTTATACTCTTGTATGAGCTGGGTGAGGGGCATTCATTTCCTTCTGAGATGAGATGACATTGTTAGAAGTGAGTGGCCCAGCCCCTTCCTCCGTGTAAGTACAAAGACCCCACTAGTTCTCATAATTGATTCTAAGGGCACAGCAGCCTCATTCCATCAGCCATTCTCTGTGTACCCAGGATATACTTCATATGCACTGGAGCATCCAACCTGGCCTACAAATCTGGACATACTCTCCTCATGGCTACATTATGTATTAATCAGCTGCCAGGGAATATTTATCTAATCAACCGAGACAACTGTCAGAAGGAGCAGATCTGACACTAGCAAGTCTGTTTTCCAGGTGCAGTGATGGAGGAGGAGTTAAAGTAAACCCTTGTTGGCTTGAGCATGCCAGCAGACTAGGAAATATTTTTATTCTGTTTATAAAGAACTGGTTAGGAGTCTCAGCCCTGGAAATCTGCTTTCTGGTTGTTTCTTGCTGTGTTAAAATGAAGTAATTGTTTTATTTAGGAAAACAGAATAATTGAAACTTTCAGATGAAGTTCTGAGTCCCTCAGAGTCCTGCAGATCATATGAAAACTAGCTCCCAAGAATAAGGTGGCGTGTGACAATCGAGAATTGTGGATGCTAAGTGATTCCAGTCGCTCTAACTGCATAGAAAGCCATAATTTACACATTTTCCTCTCCTCTGTCTTTGAAAAGACCGAGGCTGTCTGTTAGTGATTACCAAGAGTCAAGAGTAATGTGCCCTATCTCATTTGTTCATGCAGACCCTGGGTTCTTCATTCGCAGGCACTTGACAAACGAGCGAGCTGTGATAGGGTTATACCTGTCGCTCATGTTCAGAGCGTGACTTGGATGTGCGGCTCTATAGCTCCGAATGTGCAGAGTTGCATCCACCTCCTCGCCAGCCTGGTGGCTACCACCATAGAGAAATGACTGGACAGCTGAACGTGGGCATCAGCGCTCTCATCTTGCTTGGTGTTTTGATTTCCCAGGTTACCAAGGAATGGCCTATTACTCTAGCTTAGTGCCCGTAAGCAGTGTCTAGTTAAAATCAGTGTCATCAACAGTGTCTCTGTGCTTTCAGCCTGAGTTGTTCAGATTTTCGGTCCTTTTAGTCCTTAGAAAATAACTTGGCAGCTGATGGACCTAGTTCTGGATAATCTTGATCATCAACTCTATATGATGTAGAATCACCCTGGAGACAGACAGCTAGGCGGATCTGTAGTGGAGTTTCTAGAGGTTGTTAGTTGAGGAAGAAAGACATAGCCTAACTGTGGGAACACCAGTCTATGGACGGCGGTCCTGAGCAGAGGAGAAGGGAACTGAACACCAGCATCCATTTCTCTCTGCTTCCTGGCTGGATACGACATGATCAGCTGCCCTAAGCTCCTGCCCCATGCCTTCCCCACCGTGATGGGCTGTGCCCCCCGACTGTAAATAAACCCTTCCTTTATTATCTTGCACTTGCCAGATATTTTGCCACAGCAATGAGGAGGGTATTAATTATTTAATACAGTGATGATACATTTAAATATCTCCCCTAAGTACTCAGCAAGCCAGCAACCTTGTTTGCTTCTTCAGCTTCCTGCTTTGGCTGTCCCTATAGCAAGCCCACACTGAGTTCACTGTGCGTGTTTTGTTGTTGTGAGGGTGACCATGGTCCTTTGCAGTCATGGCTGTGTGTTACCATGCTGAGTGTGTTTTCTGCCCACCTATGTTGAAGTTTTGTTTGTAAAGTGAAATAGGAAGGGAGAGATCACACCCAGGGTATGTAGTTGGGTCCAATGCCGTATCTTCTGGGATGTCATGGCCATGAGGATGTCTAACATGGGAGACCTTGCTGCAACCTCGTGTCCTTTAACTCCCTGCTCTCATCCAGATGAAATCCTGGGCTCGTGCTGTAAGCAGAGCTGTGGAGTGACGAGAGCAACCACATGCCTCCACCATGCTGCCTTTTGTCTTGTTCAGCCCACATGCAACAGTAACACCAATAACAAAGCCTAAATGTTAGCCTGTGTTTTTAAAGAAATTTTCATGAAAGTTTCTAAAAACCCTAAAATTATTTAGAGACTATCCAAGTGGGGTATAATGTTGCATATCTGTGGCCTGAGACTGAGGTAGGAGGGTTTAGAGACCCACCTGGGTACATGGTAAGGCTGGCTTATCTTTGAATATGGTGGCCTTAGGCAGCACACTTCTTGCCAGGTCTGGAACCAGGGGATGATATGGAATGTGTGATGGTCTGGAGTACTGGCGACTCTACTTGGTACCAGTTGGCTGTTCCCTCTGAAATTTTACCCATGATCCTGACTGCAGTTCCTGTTGAAAAGCTCCTAAACAAGGCAACTCAAGCAATCAATGCCCCAGGAGACAAATGCTCATATCAGGGCCTTGGTATCAGCCAGAACACAGCCATTTTTTACAAGGAAGAAAAAGCCATGACATTTTATACGTTGAAATTGATTATTTCATCAATAGGTTAATAGAAATCCAGGCTGTAAGTTCACTTCCTGGTTATACATCCTCACTGTAATGGGGGAACAGAGCATGAAAAATGCAGAGTGCACAGCAACCAGGAAGAGGTTTCCACGCTGAGCTTCACCCCTTCTGCAGAGCTCAGCCTGGATTCTGCCTATTTATATGTAAATGTTCTAGAAGGGGGTCTGCTTCCCTATGAAGCTTTACAGTAACCACTTCTTTCTGGAACTTGTGAAATATGCCCCCAGACTCTGAGCGCATCCACTAGTAAAAAAATGAAGCACATGCCGGTTGTAGGCACACAATGTAACCTGTGGGAGGGAAGGGGAGCAGCAATCCTTTGACAGTGCTTGAAAACTGTGAGCAATTGGATTTCCTTCCTTGGTCAGAGTTGACTGGCTGATATCTGAATGGCCCTTCCCAGGTGTGTTGCTTCCTGGGATGGACACAAGACCTTAAAAATGCAGAAACGAGCAAAACCCCTCCACTTTCTCCACCCACCATGGAAAGTTAAATTTTAATCCATATACAATAGGCAGAAGACTCCAGGCGGCAGCTGTAGGTGTTCACTAGTTAGGGATCAACATTTCGTACCAAATCATTTGTGGGTGTTCACACTACAAAGTGAGCCTTAGGTGTTTAATAATAGCAGCTTTAATCATTTTAAGTCAGTGGGCAGTGAATTCACAGTTGTTTGCTCTCTTGATTAAACTTTGCACTCTAAATATATAAGACTATATTTCAGAACAGCCTTTGTCCTTGACAGCTCATGTTTCTCACATGTATTTTGGAGATCTTTAAAAAGAACCTCAGTGAGAGTGGCCAGCAACTGAACTCACCTAGACCTCTCCCGAGGTCACTTTCTGTCCATCAGAGACCCCGGTGTTCATACAACTTAGCCAGGGCCTGACGCCATACTGCCTGCAATTGAGTGGCTTGAACACTACAGCAGATAGGATTGAGTCAGAGATAACTCAGAGTCAGTCTGCCTCCCGCCTGTGCTACGTCGACTAATGGAAGCTCCTAACAGGCTCTCTTCCTGACTTCGGAGTTGAAAAACAAATGGCCCATGGTTCCCTTCGTTGGGAGCATGGCAACTTTCACCCCTGCTGAATATATTGGTGTCTGCCTACAGTAGTGGGCCCAGCTAAGATACATGACTTTATCTCAACCCCCCAAGAGCCAACTTGTCAACTCTTGTTGGCTTCTGTGACCTGTATCTGCAAGGGTTGAGAGTATCCTCAAACCATCTTCTTCCAAGCCTCAGGTATCTCATGTGTGCGTGTGTGTGTTATGTGTGTGCGCACGTGCATACGTGTGTAGGGAGTGTGCACATGCATGTATGTGTGTCTTGTGCATGTCGCCTTCCAAGGTAGCCAGTAGAAGGAAGGGGCCAGATGGGATAGAAACCATATCTGTGTCCCTGGAGTGTCTCACCCCATGTCTGCAGGGCAGCGTACACAGTTGCTCTATGTCCCCTTGGCTCAGAAAGTTACTTGAACTCCAGCATTCTATTTGAAGTGACTTGGTGTCCGTCTTTTCTGAAGGACATCTGAAGAGGCTTCTGCTGTAGGGGAGCCCACTTGGTCTCCAGGGAGGGAAGATGCTTCTCGGGTTCTGCGGTTTAAGCTAGTGTTCATCTCACAAACGGTTTTGAGGAGGAGTTGAAAAATATTCTTGTTTTAAAAGACTTGCATCTGAAACATAAGGTCACTTGAACTAGCTTCTGGACCATAGCCCACCACAGCCCAAAGGCCAGCGTTTGCCCTTCAGCAAGTAGCTTTGTGCTCAGGAAAGGGTCTGTGCACATTTGCCTGGGAACATCTGATTTCCTGAGCACTCCACTAACCAAGCTGGCTCGCCTCTACCCTCCTCACCTCTGTGCTGTCCTGGGGGGAGTGGAGGGCCAACGGGAGCCCCTTGTGCTGCCCCTCGCTGCGCACTCAGGTGGCTTCATGCGCTGCTTTGACATTTCTTTTCTCCCTTTTTCATTTGTTTTCTTTTCCTTTTTGTTGTCTCTCTTTCCCCTGCCCTCTCTGCTCTCGGGATGCAGCCAAACGCAAAGCGTGGAAACTAAACCGTGTTGGTAGCCTGCGAAACATATACAGCAGCAGCAGCACCAACACCGAAGGTAACTGCACCCGCCCCGCCGGGCTCCCGCCTCCCCGCCTTCCTGCCTTCCTGCCTTCCTCCCCATGCAGACATGAAAATGCAGCCGCATGCCCCCGCGTTGTGTCTGCAGTCGGCCCTGTGGTCTTTCCGTCCTTTTGTTTGTGTGTTCTATTTTACCATTCATGTTCCTTTCAGCTTACTTAAATTTTGACCTTTCCCTTCAGTCGTAGGGTAGTGATGTTTAAATTACTTTGGAAACCTATTTTCTCCTCTTTTTTCCCCCCCTTTCCTTTATACATGTGGGCACTCAATGTAATATTTCCCAAGTTATTACAGTTTTTAAAAGTGTTAGTATCAGGTGTAATGATCTGTAGCCAAATACAATAGTGTGCCGTGACATTTAAGTAACAGTCTTAATTTGTTTTGTGGAAGCATTCTCCATAATGCTCTCTGCAGCTCTAATCCAGAAGCAGGCAGGCCCGGGCCATTTGCATGGACTGCTATTGCTTGTAAATTCCGTATATTGTTTTGTTTCTAAAGGTCGTCTGGTGCCAAAGTTCACAAATTGACTTGAGTTGCTTTTTTCACCAAAGACAGCCGTCATTGCTTTTGTATAATAGCAGATTGAATTCCCCCACACCTTCATTTGAACAACACAATTATAAATTGCCTTTTTTTTATGATTACAAATGTCAAGGGTCAGAATTATTTTGATACCAGGCAAGGGAAAACCAGCGCCATCCACCTAGTATACAAAGGGAGGCTGGCGGGTATACAGGATGCAAAGCAGGTCACAATCCAGCGAGCCTGGTATAATAGGGGGGATTTCTTTTTCACTTAAGTGCAAGCCAAATGGGTCAAGTAATGGCGAACTCGCGCCCTAACACTAATTGACTTATTTGGGGATGATTATAACTGTAATATTTTTCTTAATGTCACTGTTTTCTGGGCTGTTGATTTTAGCGATTGCCAAGTAGTGGCATTAAATCTCCTGTAAATTTTAAATTGCACACTATTTCTGTAAACAAGTCCCTTCTTCACATCCCAGTCATTAACCTTTCCTGATTTATATCCCCATCCTCTCTCACTTCCCTTCACAATTACTCACCAAAAGCCCTGCTCTCGAGCCGGAATGAATGCACAAAACCAAAGCCACGCTCGCAGGGCAGCTTGTTAAAGAGCCATTTTGTAATCACAGTTTTGTTGGCACTCTTCAAGAGGAGGTGATTGGTCCAGATCCTGTGTATCCTGGCCTCGCCACATCTCTCTTAAAAGCATTCAGAAAACGAAATGAGAGAGAAGGCAAAACAGAGATTTAAGAAGCCGCCTCACCAGTTACAATTTTCTGTTGAGCACAGAGGTATCAGTTTGCTCCCTCACGGTTCTTTAGATGGTAGGTTTTCTTCTTCTTTTTTCTTGTTTTGTTTTGTTTGGGGTATTTATCATCTCTCTGTCCTGTGTCTCTATCAAAGGTGTCTTTTATATGGTATAGGTTATAGGTTTATTGATGACTTCTTTCCTTAAAAACTAAAGAAAGTTGTGACTGTTTTAAGTGTTACTGAATACAGAATTGAGGGACAGTAAGAAGATGTATAATTCACTCATTATCCTCAAAACTAAATCCTTCCTACCCATCACCTGCCAGAAGGCCACGCAGGAGACCTTGGTGGGCTGAGTTGACACTGTGTATTTAAGGAATCACAGGAAGACTGATTTCTCAGTATTCGCTGCTTGGGTAATGGGGAACTTGGCATCCAAGGCAGCCAGAGCTTCAGAGGCCACTTAGGGGTTATAGAGGGCAGACAATGACTAGGTGAAGTTCACTCCTCTCTGAATCCTCGGTAGCTTAACTCACTTGGGGTCCCTCCATATGAGTGAGTGCCACAGGTATCCATGGGGACTGGGGGGGGTTGAGACACGGGTAGCCATGAGGGTTGGGGTACAGGCAGTGACCACACTTTGGTTATTCCGTGTTTCCAGCTATAGTAAGCTGCTCCATGTATGGTTACATTTGTTTCAGTTGAGCAGCATGGTTATTCCTCATTACTATGTGTGTGCATACTACCTTATCCCATATAATTTTTAATAACTTGTTACAGAATCCATGTAAGTCCATAAATTATCAAAATATTCTTCTAATCTCAGGCTTTTAATGTATGATGTTACCACATGATCGCTGCCCATAAACTGACCCTTCATGAAAAGGTGTGTGCTGAAGACTCTGTCTTCTGTTAGATAATCTGAATCGTACCCATCCTGAAGTGTAGTATTGCTTAAAATGCCTCACTTGGTCGATTGATTCAGAGATTCCCAGAAAATACCAAAATAAAGTTGGTTCAGAGTTCAGTTCCCTAGACACAAAAATTAGGTTTTTTTAATTGGGAGGAGGAGCAATTAATAAACCCTGTTTTTGGTAGCCTGAGTGTGGCTCAGAAGTTGTGGGACCCTCCTGGGGACACACGTTGTAAGACAGACTGGGCTGTGCCTGAAGCCCTGTGCTCTCACTGAAGCCTTCTCTTTGATGCACACACTGTCGTGGGCCCTGGACCACGCTGTCTCATTTGATCCTCACAGTGCCCCTGCCAGGTAGGTGTTGTGTTACACACAGAAAATTGAGGTTGTGGTAAGTTCCACAGAACCTGTGCTGAGCTGTGTGCTCCAGGACCTCCACTCTGGAGGGGCCATGGTGGATGCCCAGAGTGTGTGAAGATGGATTGTTAGGAGGACAGGCATGGGTTAGAAAAGCGCAGGTGGATCCTTCGCCCCGCAGGTCTGCTGACCCTTGAAAGCCAGGTAGACACTTGGTGCTCACCCTGTAGAACCCAGGGTTGAAGCTTTGTTCCTTCTTCACAATTAAACTCCCACCCAGGGATGGTAAAATGAAATGCTCTTCAGCAGGAATTGCAGCTTTGACTTGTCTCTCAAGCCTGTGCTGCAGGGTCCCCGGGACAGGGCCTCATAGTGGCATCGTTCCCCAGTCAGCCCTCTTGCTGGCCCAAGCAGAAAAGGTCTAGATGTCAGGTGGGTGGCGCTCAGTTCCAGTGTTTGACTCTGTGGCAAATGTTTCTGAGAAAGTGCCTAGGAGCCAAGATGTAGAACAAACAGACTCTGCATGACAGTGTTTTCCAGGTTAGTATGACATAGAAACAAGGCTGTCCCATCTCAGAAGCCAGAGCCAGGTGGACCCACCAACTGAGAAGAACTTCTGATGTGTGGATAAAGGGGGTACAGTAAAGGGAGCAGTGAGCACTGCTTGGTGTGCAGAGTCCTCCCATTTTGTCAGTCAGCAGAGTGAGTGCCTGAACGTAGCCCACCTCACATGGCAGATGACCCTCATACCCAAGGATCAGCCAGACTCAGAAGTGGCCCAGAGTCCAAAAAGAAGGCCTGTGGTTCTGCTCTGTCTACAAAGGTCCATTTCTGTGGGTTTGGAATCTGTCCAGAGACAGGCAGAGGAAACCCACACTGGGTCCATCACTTTGTGGCACAGGCCTCTCAACAAAATCTAATCTGTGGTGTTCTGATATCACTAAAATTTAACCTAGAGACTCTACGGAAAGTCACTTGTCAGTATAGGGACAAACTGACAAAAGCAAGCATATCTAAGTGCTAAATGTTAATGCAGCTGTCTTAGCTGCTGCTCTCCTGCTGTGACAAGATACCATAGCCAAGGCAGACAGCAGGTAAGCGGGCATAGCACTGGAGCAGTGACTGAAAGCTCACGTTTTTAAGATAGAGCCATGAGGCAGAGAGAGAAGCAAGGAGAGAAACTTCAAAGCCCATCCCCAGTAATGCACCTCCTCCAGTGAGGCCACACCTCCTAATCCTTCCCAAACAGTTCCACCAACTGGGACTCCACTATTCAAACATATGAGCTAATGGGGGCCATTTTCATTAAAGTCATAGGAGCTAAAGCAAGATTGGGAAATCCAATCTCCTCAGTTGGCTTCATGGAGAGACAAGGAAGGATGGCCATGCTGGGCAACCCATTCTGGGCGAGCAGAAAGGTCTGTTGATTGTCTCACTCCCTGGCTCCTGCAACTGGGAGCCCAGGGACCCTGAACAGTGACGACAGACCGCATCCCAGCAGTAAATATGCAGAGCCCTGCACATGTGTCACCCCCCCATGTTTTCCTTTAAGAATGGGAGGGAAAATGAAAGTAACCTTTGCATGATGGTGGGTTTGAACTGACATCCTAAACAGGCCGTCTCCATCATCAGCTAAATGCCTAAACTGCATGACAATTGAATGTGGGCCTTTGAAAGTGACACTGAAGCATTTTACAAAATGTATTGCTCAAAAAAAAAAATAACATTAAACGCCTGAGGCTGTGTATGACATTGTATCACATGGCCCATAGGGCCCAGGTTGTAGGAGACCTGGAGGTTGAAACTGAACACTGTTCACACTGAGGACAGTGGCCTCTTTAGATCACAGGGATGTCTTCCATTGCAAAAGGAAGGTGGGGACAGCATGCTGTGGTGTTCCCTAGCCAGCTAGTGCTGATGTGGCTGAAGACCAAAAAGGTGGAGAGATGATGGCTCCATGGTTACGAATACATGCTGATCTTGCAGAGGACCCAAGTTTGGTTCCCAGCACCCACATCATGCAGCTAACAGCTATCTGTACCTCCAGCTCCAGGCGATAGAGAATCCCTTTCTGACCTCTTTGAGTACCTGCACTCACAGGCACAAATCTTGAAAAAGAGGTGGAGTGACCTGCCTGCGGGCACCCATTAAACAGGGTATAGGACAAACCCTCTCCACCTGTAGATGCCCCACTGGAAAACCCTTTGCTAATACTCATGAATGGAGGGGTGGCTCGAGGCAGAGTTGGAGCCCTCCTCTCTGTGCAGTGCCAAAAGCACGTGTCATTCTTGCCACGTTTGTGAGTCAGTGTAACAGGAAGCAGGCTCCACCTTAGGGCTGGAATCCTGGGTGGACCTCAGGTTAGAAGCCCAGATTCCAGGAAGCCTGGGAAACCATTTTCCCCCTCCAGAATGCAGAATCCCCTGTGGC